CTGGTGATGTGTTTTGTTTTGTATTGCGCACCGCAGTCAGCGGAGGGAATGGACACCAGCCTGTCCGTTATACTAGGAGTAGCTGTTATGCTCCGGTTACCTTTTAAGGTGGCTACAGGAATAAATCTTTTCTATGTACTATCGAGCACAGTGCGGTACTTCGTAGGATTTTACAATCAGTCATACTTCTGTCGTTTTGCGTGTACAATATCTCCCCCTCGCCTCCTCTCTCCCTTGGTCGCGACTCCATGCGCAGAAGGTTTCTCTCTGGATAGACTTGGACGGTGCATTCCCGTGGATTCGGAACTCCATGAACTGATGGCTCCTCTCCGAACGCGGCAGGAACTGCTAGCTGTGGCGGCAGCGCATGCAATAGGTTCGACCCCGGAGGAAGTATTAAGTCAGCGCGAACCCCGCTGTCTCTGCATTTGGCAGCTCCTGTCGTACATCCCCTGGGTTTTGGGGCTTGTGTCACTCATGGCGTTCGGCTGTTATCGACAGGAATANTCCTGTCGTACATCCCCTGGGTTTTGGGGCTTGTGTCACTCATGGCGTTCGGCTGTTATCGACAGGAATACAATCAGCGGAAACGTTTTCTTCTTGATACTCAGGCAAGCTGACCCGTCCACGCTACCACCGCCTCATGGCGGGGGTAGAAATGGAAGATGAATCCGATGGCTTCATTATGTATTGTGCAGTGAAGTGCGTTGGAATCAGAGGTGCTCTGCGTTGTATGTGGGTTTGATTGGGCTTAGGTACAAGCGGCGCGCATGCGGAGCAGAGAAATCCTGAATACCATGCTGCCGTCGTTTGTGGTGGCCAAGATGCTCTCGGCGACGCACACAGATCCAAGGCACGTTGATCTTCTGCCATGCGATAGAATCCGTCCTACTAGACAGCTTGCTGTGTCTGCTCACTGACATCCGCTCTGTGCACTGACGTTCGCTGCTTCGAAAGTCTGAAACCAGGAATTTTCAGTGGCTCGTGGTTGCGGGGTCCCTGCGTCATTCAGGCCTATGAACATGCCAAATGCAATCCCTTATTATTTGTGCTCTCCACCTCTGTTCCTATCGGTTCTCTTCTGCGACGTCGCGGACTTCCACAACCTCGTCTGCGCCTTTTCGTTGCCACAGGTATATGATTAGACATTAGGAACTGTTGCGCAGCATTTTACTTACTAGAGTGCTCCTACATACTGCAGTACCTCGCGTTGTGAGCACTCCTTTGTCTGGCATTTGCCCTGCCGCCTGGCTGGCAAAGCATACGAATTGATCTATACCACGGACTTAGCTGTCACCGTCGACCACAACTTTTTATTACCTTAGGCGTCGGTGCTGTGCTTGCCTTCTCTTCGCAGGACTTAGTGAAGCTCCTGGATGCGCTTTTTTTATGCTTCGACAAGCTGAGTGAGCAGTTTCAACTTGTAAAGATCGAAACTGTCTTCGAGACGTACCTTGCTGCCGCAGGTAAGACGTTAGGGGACCATCCTGCAGACTACCAGTGCGAACAGACGTTCACAGCAATGCCCATGAGCTCTTGTGCTCGTGCTCTTATTCCTCTAGAAACTACAGCTTTAGATGAGGCAGAGGGATCAGTAACCGGCGTGATTTGCAGTGTGGGACGTTACTTTGCTAGAGTGGATAACTTCTGGTGCAGTGCATTTCTTTTTCCATTGACTTCTTGCCGAACGGAATGCGGGGCGTATCCATCCTCAGGCCTGAATGATCCTGTTTTAGCTGAGGACGCAGCTGGACAGATGGATGACGAGAGGGACTCTTTCAGCGAACGCGACCTCCTCAAAGTCCAGCAGGGCGCGTTCAGTGCTGTCGAGTGAGCACGTGCTCGGCTTTAAGAGGACAAGTGCACGCTAGAGCATAAAATATGGGTATATAATTTAGTTAGATTCGGGAGCGTGAAGGTGCTTTTGTTCCCTCTGGTTGCTTTTCAGGACTGCATTGGCAATGCTCCAGGTGACTATGTACATAACATATGANCTAGGGACAACGACGCATCACACGCAGTAAACGACTCCAGCGGACAGCGGCAAACACGTCGTCTGCGAGTCAAGATTGGCATTCATAGTGGGAGCGTTATCAGGTGCGTTGGAAACCACATTCTTACAAACGCCCATTTCTTCAATGAGAGAGTTGGATTCACGAGTAGATGAAGTTAATCTAGCTCGCACTATTGGTCGCATCCTTGGGCTGAATATGTTTCCGTGGCTGTGTATGCATTCTGCAGCGGTGTTGTTGGTTCTCGGAAGCCCCAGTATGCGTTATTCGGTGACACAGTTAACACCGCTTCAAGGATGAAAAGCACCAGTACGTTCTAGTCGAGAGTGCCGAACACTCACCTGTCCTGCCCGTGGTCCGGAGAGTTGCTCAAACCACACGTAACTGGCGTCATGCGCGCTTGGCAACGTCGAACGCTGCAGTGACTTCTGTGGTGTAGTCGGCGCACCTCGTGAGTAGCGGTTTGATGGCAATGCATGTGTTTTAGGTGTGGCTGACCGGATCCATATAAGCGGAGCAACACACAGGCTTGTAGCTCATGATCAGCAGTTTAAGTGGCGGGAGATGATTGTCGATGTCAAAGGCAAAGGTGAGCGAATAAAAGGGCGAGGCAGAGAGCTGGAGCCGAATTCGCTCTTTTATCTGGTAACACTGTAGTATCATTGCCCCACTTTGATTTGTTTGGTGGCGCCGAGGAGAAGTATTCTCACTA